AATAGTGGGATTGATCGTCACATTATAACGCCCCCACGGCTGAAAGGGTGAGCATGTTTGGTGGTATGCGGATTCGAACCCGCGACCCTCAGATTGTGAGTCGAGCGCCTTATCCACCTGGCCATGCCGGGCCTGAAGTGTATGTGGTGTTACGAAGTGGTGTAGTGATAAAGTTTTGTTTGTTTTGAATTTCGCGCAAAGCTACGCGAGGGCTATCTGCGCTAGCCGTCCCTAATTTAGCAGTGTAAGACTAGAGGGAAGGCAGCTAGTCATCACCACCCACCGCCAACTCTAGGGCTACTCTTTTACCAACGAATAGTGGGATTGACCGTCACATTATAACGCCCCACGGCTGAAAGGGCGAGCATATTTGGTGGGACGGGGATTCGAACCCGCAACCCTCAGATTGCGAGTCGAGCGCCTTATCCACCTGGCCACTCCAGGCCAGTGATAAAGTAAAAAGCAGTGGAGTTATTCAAATGATGAATTGTATTTTTAATAACTCATAATTTTACTTTCGAAAAACTGTCTAATAGTTACGATCTCTTGTCATTTAACTGAAATACAATATTTAATTAGTTATTTTAAAATAATTGATCAATAAAAGCATCGTTATTACGAAATGAATTCAGAATTTTTTTTTGCTATGCTCGATTTTATTTGTATGTCATTTTGGCAATACTGTTTGGAGCAGTTGAGAACAATTTTAACATGTCGTGGGCTGATGTGATATGTTTATGTTCACATTCTATAGCAATGTACATGTTACAGGTCTACCACGACTTAATATATAATTATCAGAATTTTCAAGCAACATACATATCCGGCCCTGCAACTTGTTAGACGAAACAGTGCTAAAAGCGATACTGAATTACGATTCTGTCCTGCCATTCATTTGATCTTATAAACATATATTGCAAACTGTGGTGTCTGTCCGAGCGTTCGTCTGTCTCCCGTTTTGGAAAGCTGCGCACGCAGGCAAAGCTCAACATTCACTTTAGAAATGACGGGAGAATAGGCATGAATAATGTTGATGCCAAATATAATTTCGCAAGCAGGATATTCTACACCAAATTGTTAGGAATTCATCACACTATCATTCATATTTCAAAATGTGTCGTAACTTAAAGAATAAAAATGTAGATTTACCGTATGTTATTGTTGAGTGGTTCTTAGCATGGACTGAAATGCTGAACAATTACTTTTAGCGGTAGGCGGTATAAGTAGCTCAGAGCTTTGGCTCTGAGTGAAACCAAGAGTGCAACACAGTTAACCTTTTTAAAGTTCATGAAATAATTTAAATTAATAGATCAGTATTAATTATTGTTATTACTATAGTTTTTAACACAAGAACATATTTTAAATATGTATAACACTAATTATGATTATTAACTGCTCAGTACAATGTGGATGTAACAAAAATAAAAAATAAAAAATGCTGGAGCGCGGCTCCGCCAACGGTGTCATTCTTTTTCTCTCTAAAAATAAAGTATGCAGTAAAATTAACGTAAAGGAATAAACCACTATTTTGAAACAAAATGTTAGTACAAATAATAAGAAGTTAGTTTCGACACTTTCATTAATCTTTTTTTTTAGTCCTATCCGTAGAGAAAATCCTAAAGCAAAATGCTTTTCTTGTCATTTATAAATACTCCAATACTATCAAAAGCTCTCCAGTGGCTCAACGGCAAGTCTGAGGTCTTATAACCCTAAAAATCAGGTTTCGATACCTATGGTTGACAAAACACGGACAATCCATTGTGTAGTTTGTGCTCAACAATAAAAACAAACAAACAATACTGTTCAAATATCCTGACTTTAAAGAAAACCACCAAAAAAGATAAAATACAGGGCGTCTGTGTTGTTTCATGCCAATCATATTACAATACAGAGCGTCTGTGTGGTTTCACGCCAATAATATTAAATTACAGAGCGTCGGTATTGTTTCATGTCCATCATATTAAAATAATAGGCGTCTGTGTCGTTCTATGTATAACATATTAAAATACAGGGCGTCTGTATTGTTCCATGCCCATCTTATCAAAATACAGGGTTTCTGTGTCGTTTCATGCCCATCATATTAAAATAAAGGGCGTCTGTGTTGTTCCATGCCCATTATATTAAAATACAGGGCGTCTGTGTCGTTTCATGCCCATCATATTAAAATACAGGGCGTCTATGTTGTTTCATGACCATCATATTAAAATACAGGGCGTCTGTATCAATTCATGACCATCATATTAAAATACAGGGCGTCTGTGTCGTTTCATGCCCATCATATTAAACTACAAGGAGTCTGTGTTGTTCCATGCCCTTCATATTAAAATACAAGGCGTCTGTCTTGTTCGATGTCCATCATATTAAGATACAAGGTTTTTGTGTCGTTTCATGCCAATCATATTAACATACAGAGCGTCTATGTTGTTTCTTGCCCATGATATTAATATACAGAGCGTCGGTGTCGTTTTATTCTGATGATATTAAAATACTGACCGTGTGTGTTGATCCATGTCAATCATATTAAATTACAGGGCGTCTGGGTCGTTCTATGTCAATCATATTAAAATACATGGCGTTTGTGATGTATCATACGCATAATATTAAAATATAAGGCGTCTGTGTCGTCTTATGTCAATCATAATAAAATACAGGGCGTCTGTGTTTTTCCATGCCCATCATATTAAAATATAGGGCGTCTGTGTCGTTTCATGACAATCATATTAAACTACAGGACGTCTGTGTCGTTTCATTCCTATAATACTAAACTACAGGACGTCTGTGTCGTTTCATGCCCATCATATTAAAATACAGGGCGTCTGTGTCGTTCTATCACAATCATATTAA